ACACTCCAGTATCTCTGCTCTTTCGGCACAGGGCTTTGAAAGCTTTAGAACAGTCCCTAACCAGACCAAGATGGGTAATGGATTTCAGACAGTCTTTTTACTGTGGAGTGCGAGTGGGTGTTTTAGTATCAAAAGAAAGTAAAAAGAACATCTGGTGGGAAAAAAGTTGTGTGTGTACGCGTTGGCAAAATACACAAAATGGTTTTCATCCAACATGGCTTAATGGTTGCAATCCATTTTCTCTGATCATTTAGCCACAGGTCTTCAGCTCCATCCAGGCATTAATTAGTCAGAAATAACTCCAGGCTTGTTTTTGTCTCATAGGGGTAGATATAGAAGCTACTCACACCTTATAATTCATCAATGCAGTTATTTTTAGATGATGTCTCAGAGATGTTTCCCACAGTTAACATCAAAACAACTTAACATGCGAGGAGCCATTTCTCTGTTACGGCACTTACGTCCTTGGCTGCTTTGTTGCATCATTAAACTAGAGATGTGCGAAAACAGTACCTAAAAGCACCGAAAACTCATTAGTTGTTCTGGCATAATGTCAGAAGTAAAATAAAAAGTCTATTTCTGTCAACATTTGTTAATTACCAAAACTAGTGTGAAAAAAATATAGTAATAGTAGTGATTTAGTGTCTGGCTGTTGCATTTGAAACTAGTTTAACTTTTTTATTACTTTTTTTTAGAATATAAATTGCTCCCAGGTTTGGATTAAAAACTATTTACAGCATTAGACACATATGTGACAGATAAAGAAAAAGAATAGTTACTCTGCCATTGACTATCGCTTGAATGCAGCACATAACAGCTTTAAGACATGTGGTGCATAAAACAAAGGAGCTCGTTTGTTACCCTTCATTTTGAAATAAAATGACATTTCTCTCTCCTCAGATTAATAGTTTAGTGCTTTGCTCATTGATTCTGCAGAAACCCACAATGTGTTTCAGTCCAGAGTGTTATTTTTTTCTTTCATTTTTTTCCTCATAATCATCCATATTTGTTTTGATATGAACGAACCATGCGTGTACCTGATTGGCTAATCCACCTGTCAATCACACACATCTGAACAGTGACCAGACTCATATCTTTGGATAGTATTGAAGAAGAAGTAGAATTCTGATCCCAAGCAAGTGATATGGTCACCCCTTTTATTGGGCAATATTCCTAAGACTCAGAATAAGGGACAGGTTGAATTAAAGGGACAGTCCAAAATTTTGAACATAGGACCTCATTTCCTTCGAGTGTTGGAGATGTGTGGAGAATTTTTTTTTAATATTCCATCCAGTCCTTGTATTTGCAGAGGTCGCTGGGGCTAGGCTAGCGCATGTCAATGGGCATAGATAGCCTTATAGATAGTCTTACCCACTCCACAAAACACCCAAAGCAAAACAGTTATTACACCAGACTGTTGTTGTAAATGTTTGTGTTGATAGAAAAATGTTTGAAATAAAACTAACTTTGCATCACATAAATCGTCACATGTTGAGGGACTATTTTCTCATATATCAGTCCACCGCTACCAAGCTTTCTATCAGGAAGTAGAACTCACTGCTGCTGCTCAGACATAAATCCTTCAAATGCAAGGTTGGTTTTACTTCAAAAATTATTCTGTCAACACAGACTTTTACATCAATAGTCTGATGTAATAATAGTTTTGCTTCAGATGCTTTGTGGAATGGGTAAGACTATTTTTAGTGGCAGGCTAACTATGGTCATTGACATGCACTAGCCTAGCACAGTAAATACAAGAACTGGATGGAATATTTTAAAAAGTGTCTCCACACGTCTCCAACAGTCTGGCTCACTGGGAAATGAGGTCCTATGTCCAAAATTCTCGATTGTCCCTTTAACCATTAAGTATGATCTCGAAAAAACATTATATAGACTAAGTGTACATGTGTCCTTAAATATGTTGTAAATATGATCTGGCAAAAAAAAGGATTTATTTTTTGGCATATAATCCACCCATGTTCAATTTATTTTTAGGATTTGAATTTGTGAACACATTGACAAAGCATTCAACAATTTGCTCAACTCATATCTTTTGATCATAGAGCAGTACTGGCTGTCACAGAAGATGAAAACCCAGAGCTCTGGTGATGTTTTTGCAGTTTTCTTTAGATGTTTTATTCTCTCCAGTACAGTGCATTTAATACTTGCTGTGCATGGAAGAGTGTTCAGCAGCAGCCCCTTAGCTCCCCATGCACACAACACCTCAGTGATCAGCCTGAGAGAGAAAAAAGAAACAGCAGAAAGAAGAGAGGGCTGTGTTTGAACAACTAGAACGATATAAACATCTTACAACATTTAGTCAGTGGTGGCAGGTGTTAGCTATTTAATGCCACACTTGGGCTTTTTTCTCAGCCTAGTTTTTCAAAGCCATGACCCAGCTGATGTGTGAAAAATACTGTAGTAGAGATGTAATGAGTACATATTTATTGTGATATTTTGGACAGGCTCACAGCTTTGTGAACAGTTATTTCTTCATGTAGTCTGCACTGAAATGGAGCAAAGGATCATGGTCTACACTACCAGTTAAAAGCTTTCAATGTTTTTTCTTTATGTGTGTTTTACTTTTTATAATGCAGATATATACTGAAGACATCAAATATATGAAGCAAGATATAAGGAATTATGTAGCAAAAAAAAGTTTAGTATGTTTTATATTTTAGACTGAAATTTGTACACCATTTGCTTTGTTAACAATGCTACAAACCTTTGTCCTTCTTTCAATTAATTTCACGATGATGTCCCCTGAAATGGTTTTGTGTGCCTTGTCAGGGTTCATTAGTGGCAAGAGTGTACAAAGTAGTGATGAAAGCAAAGGGTGGCTATTTTGAAGAGTGTATATAAACTATAAAACCTGTTATATTTTGTTGACTACATTCCTTATGTGTTCAGACATACTTTTGATGCCTTCAGTGACAATCTACTATGTAAATAATCATGAAAATAAAAACAGTGTCTCCAAATTGTTATTGACTTATTGTTTAATTATTGAGACTTTTGACAAAACCCTATATTTTGATTATTGTTCAGTCCCTATAGTGAACACTGTACAGCACACTCACATAATCTAGGACATGTGTCTTTGTGTTTCCATGGCGCTGCCCCATTGAGCCTGAGCCACCACCGCCCAAACGCCATGTCTTTCTGCCTGCTCCATCTCTCTCCACTCGGCTGTTTCTGGTCTAATGAAGATCTCTGGTGGAGAGGCCATTTCACACTTGATTCACCCTCAACGCCCTTGATATGTTTGGGCGCGGCGCTGATGTTTTTGGTGCTGGGGAGAGCCTGGACTGTGGGAAAATGAGAGTGCAAAGTGGTTCATCTTCATTAACTGTCGGCGAGCTACGGCTGGGATTGGAAAATAGAGTTTTGGCTGCTCTTTTCACCAGAACTTCAATTTTCTCTTGGATCCAATTGTGTTGACAAACCAATTTTGGAACTTGAAGAAAATTGGAAAAGAAAGTACACACTGGAAGCAAAGCACAGCAAAGAAGTTTGTGTAATTAGAATCCATTTGTGTGGAAGAGTGTTTTTGGACGCTCAATCTAAAAGTCAAAACAAGAATCCAAATCTGACACTGGCCTCATCTCACTGTAAAATTAGAAAATACCCAAATGTAAAATATATTTTTGTCACACTGAATGTGTTGAATTACAACACTGATAAAGGAGCTGTAGCCTAACCTCTTACTGTTTTAAAAAGTTACTAAAATAATCGCTATTGAAGCTGGGTTGCCAGGTTTCGCTAGTGACGATTTAGGGCAGACGGAGGTAGTTGAGGTTTAAACCAACTGGATTTCAGCATTGAAACTGGCAACCTAAATGTGAAGCTTCTTCTGAATTCTGCTTGGCTAATCATCATGGGACCCAATGCACCACTTTATAACAAAGTTTTATTTTTTGTAACTAAGAATCAATCAGCATAATTGTTACCAGTGAGTCATTTGTTTGTTTCATATCTGGGGACACAGTAAGGTCATGTTTATTAAATTTAAAATCTAAATCATCCTACATACAGTCCCTTTAAATATTCAAGTTCCCAGTCACTTTTTATTTTACACCCAGAACTTATTTTAATCAATGTCCTCTGAGCATTTGTGGGAAACATGAATAAAGATAATAAGAAAGAAACAATAGCTTGGTCCTTAATCCCAGTTGTAGTTTTTGTAGTAGTAGGTTTAGACAAAATTAATAATTTTTGCATTCTTAAAATATTAAATTGATTAAAATTAATACACTTTATTTTACTAAAAGACTAAAAAAAAACAACAACAAAAAAGCAGCATCAAACACGACCCAAGTCACTAAAAATCCACATTGCATTGCATGGAAAATGAAGGAACAGAATGCATTAAATATGAAGGATTACTTGTTTGTTTATACCTACAAAAATGACTCCCATCGACACTTAGGTACTAAACCATGTTGCACTAGGCTCATGGGGAACTCTATCACTGATCTGCGAGTCAATGTTTTTCTTGTCTGTACCTGAGGGAGAGAGATGAATACCAAAGACGCACCCTATCTGGCAGCATTAGCATAATTATAGTTTATTTACGGCCTAATATCTTGTGACTTGGCACTGGCTTGAAAGAAAAAAACACGGAGAAGGTCCTCTGACACTTATCAAAGCTCTCTCCGATCAGACTGTGTGAGCTGAGAATGCCTTTCATGATCAAACAAAAGTATAAAAAAAAAATAAAAAATAGCTATCCGCACCCAATAAACGTCTCGAAAACAAGTTGGACTTTTTTGTTGGGTCTGTACAATGCGTCTATTTGATGTTCAGTCCAACAGACCCCAGAGTTTGGCCAGCCATTGTAATGAATACAAACTTTGACTTTCATGTGCAGATGAGTTTAACTATTTCTTTCTGTCTGTTTGGGGTGATGTAATCTTAGCCAAATTTGTGGTGTGTGTGTGTTTTTTTTTTTCTTTTATCTCTTGATGTTTGGCACAATTTGTTCATTTTGATTTTGACAGGAAGTGGAGCTTTGTCGACTCACCAGCCAGGAGAAGTTGGGGCTGACGTTGTGCTACAGGACAGACGAAGAAGAAGATGTGGCGATCTATGTCAGCGAGGTAACAAAACATGCACTAGTCAAAACACATCATGTGCATAGAGGGCTATAATAATTATTAATTTGTTAATTGATTAATCTAGCATTTGTATTGCATTAATTGTTTACTTGAAAACAAAAGTGAATATGAGATTTTGACCCAGATAAAATTGAAGTGAAGCCACTTGAGAACAGTTTGGTGCAGTCTGTGTAAATGCAAAAATAGTGTTGATTTACATTTCGCCATGTTATTTTAATTTATTACAGCTCTATCTAAGTCATAAACCTATTCTCTCAACTCATGACTCATGGGTTTTGGAGCCTGTTGTTACACCAGTTAATGATTATTTGGTTACTAAATTATTAGTTGATATTTATTTCAATAATCAGTAGGTGGTGATTCAGCAGCAACCGTACATATACACAGAACCATTGCTTTCTTGGACAACATTAGATTGATTTAAATGGTGGAGCACCCACTCATTTAACCATTAAAAATGACAGAATTTACTCCTGAGTATGTTATACTTGGAGGTAGGGCTGTGTATTGCCAAGTACCTTATGACACAATACATACATGATACAGGGTCCCCAATACTGAGACCTTGATACCATACATGTTCATCCCTTAAAGGTGCACTGCCTAACATTTCTAGTGGAGGGTCCGCCACCTGCTTCTCTCCATGGAAATATAATTGCTTTGTCTAGAATGTTCCATAGTGTAGAATAAACCTATTTATCACCAGGGAGACAAGCAGGATACAGCACTATGCTATATTACAATTCAGATTTGTGGAGAGTCGTCCCTCATCACAGAAGGAATTATTGCAGTGAGTAGTAGTGAGCAGGTAGTTAAATGTCAGTTTATAATGCTTTTATGTTGTTTAAAAGTATCAAAATATGCATCTCTGTATATATATATATATATATATATATATATATATATATATATATATATATATATATATATATAGACAAAATGTGTTTCTCACCTTCCACGGTGGTTGGTCTCTCTCACCCTCATTCAGCTCAGGTCCTCTACCAGAGGCCTGGGAGCCTGAGAGTTCTGCGCAGTATCTTTGCTGTTCCCAGTACTGCACTTTTCTGGACTGAGATGTCCATTGTTTTTCCCGGTATCTGTTGAAGTTTGGGGGTTACAGCCCCGAGTGCTCCGATCACCACAGGCACCACTGATATATATATATATATATATATATATATATATATTATATATATATATATATATATATATATATATATATATATATATATATATGATATATTGCTGTATCGATATTTTGAGTACAGCCCAATTTGGAGGAACGCTGACAATAAAATAATGTTATTTGTAGCCTTGTGGTGATTATTATGCATGTCCAGTGTCCTTTTTATTTTTGCTATTCAAATGCAGCTGATCATTATGCAGAGAATCTTCAACATTCATAAGTTTTGCACTTGAGAAACTTCTCCAGCTCTGAACCCTTTTATCTTGGTCCGCTTGGAAAATGTATCAGATATGTGTTCTTGTGCTGTGTGCTGTATTTTCCTTCTATCTTCTGAAAGAGCACTGCTAGCTGTGTGCAAATGAAAATATGAAGGCTCATGGGGAAAGATGTATAGGCTATCTGAAGTTACACAACTGAACACTGCCAATGGGCAGCCACTGCTTCAAAACACTGTAATGCAGTCTTATTAGTAAAATCTGGAAGTAGTGTTAGTGCTAGTGGTGATAACTGTAATAATCTAGTTACATATTCAAGTTCTATTTTATTTTAAAGGGCCCATATTATGCTGTTTTTGGATCGATATTATAATGTTGTTTCCTCATTAAAACATACCTGGATTTGTGTTTTGTTTCATTTACACACACAACCTTGCATATTTAGCAGCATCCACCTTGTGATGTCATGTGGTAATACAGGAAGTGCTCCACTGTGTTTTTAAACTCCATACACCTACACTAGAATCGTTTGGAAGATTTTAGCCCTCTAATTGCCAAGTTCTACTGAACAAAAGTTAAAACGTTAGCCGTAAACTTGAAAACTACCACTTCATGACATCACATGGTGGAACAGAGCATTTTGAGCTTTGGAGACATAGACAAGCTGATATTGCAGAATTACTGAAACATGTGTGAATGAAGCAAGACATAACTCCAGATATGTTTTTGATGAGGTAACAACATCATAACATAACTTAAAGCTCATAAGAATCAATTTTGCGCCCTTATTTTTTGATATCCAACTACCCAGAAACCTTAAAGAGCTCCTCAAATCTTTTTTTTTTTTTCTATTTTTTTGCCCATTCCCCTCCAACAGCAGGCTGGCGGGATGCTACATGTTATAGCCCAAAGACTCCTACCCTCCCTCTATTTTCCTCACAGCGGTTTGAACCATTGAAAACGCCACTCCATTCTGTACAACTTTGTGCTAGATTTCGTTTGAAGTTGACTCGGATCCTGCAAGGTGTTTCCTTTGAGAGCTGGAGTGGAATATAAATGACGGCAGTGCGTGGCTCCTGGCAGCATCTTTAAATGTTGCCTTTCAAAAAAGACAGAGTATGTTGCATGCAGATGAGCACACTGAATCACACTATACATTGGGAGGAGTAGGGAGGCGGATCATGCTCACATACCATGGGAGGACACATCGTTTCAAGAGCAAAACAAAGTCACTTTAAGACAAGGTGTGCGTTTGTCTTCTCACTTCTCCTCTTTTTGTTGACCCCTGTGGTTGCCGCGACGGCTGGAGTTGGGTGCACTCTGGACAATGGCTTTTTTCATGAATGACACACAAACCCCATAGAAAACAACACATCCAGACAGTATTTGAAAATACTGTTCCTTTTGTTAGCATGGGCTACAAATTTTTATCACTATCACTAAATGTTATATCACTAATTTATCTTACATTACTGGGCTTGTTGTTGGTTAGTTGGCTGCTTCTAGTGCATATGACTTGTTCTCATATTTTTGTAATTTCTTGGTTTGGTGAGATAGGAGCTTAGTAAATGTTTATCATAGTTTTTTTTTTTTGTTTATTTGTTTTGTTTTTTTTTCACAACAGTTTTATTTCAGTCTCACATTTGAGTAACTCTGTATTATTAGTCTACGCTCTGTTCCACCTTGTGATGTAGTGGGAAGTTAACAGCTCCTTTTACCATTAGTCCAGTAGAGATTGGCAATTCCAGGGCTGAAATCATCCAAAGGATTCTAGTGATGGTGTATGAAGTTTAAAAACACAGCGGAGCACTTCCTGTATTACCACATGACATAAGGTGGAACAATATTTTCTGTCTGAGAGAAGAATTAAATATGCAGGGCTTGTGTAACATGTGTGAATGAAACAAAACACAACTCCATGTATGTTTGTGATGACGAAACAAGACATAATGACCTGAGGCTCTGCTTAAAGGTCCCTTTAAGCAAAGCCTCAGGTCATTACAATTAGAATATGTTGTCTAAACCATATTCATCAAAAAGTGAAAATGTATAGTGTAGGCTTACAATAAGATGAGAATGGTTGACACTTTTTACACATAAGCATTGGGGACAACAGTGCAGCTACAGCGCAGGTTTGTATTCTTCTGAGAGCACATTTTTCCTTTGTCCCTATTCCACCCTTGACTCCAGTCTGTGACCTCCTCCTGGTTTAATGTGCTGCTCTGTGTGGGAGTGGACCATCATGAAGATGGAGTGCCTGTGCCCCAAACATCTCCAGAGATTCACAGTGTGATAGGACAGAGTGAAACCAATGGGCCCAGACAGCCATTGACTGGACATGAAACAGTGCTCTGCCCCCTACTCCACCATTATTGTTTACATGAGGACAGGTGCGTTAATGAAAGGGATAGAAAAGAACTAAGATTTGTAAAGGGAGGCATAATGTTTTTTTGTTATTACCTCAAATAAACCTGCCTCCAGCCTGCATCTCTCTGTCAGCTCAAAGTCTGGATACATCTGCATAAGGATCATACAATACAAATGATAAATAAAATATCTAAAATCACAATAGCTGTATCCTGCCAACTAGAAGCCTTATGTAGTAATTAGTCTTTCTGATTGTCTTGCATATTTAATTGCATACATTTTTGAATCTCAGTCTACCATATGTTAGATTGTTTAGAAGTTCATCTCTCAGTTAAAATATATTGAGTTTTTCTGGTGAGTTGGTAAATCTAAAATGACCAACACCATGTAAACTCTCTCTATATCTGACATCATATAGTCAATGAAAAATTCATCGTAATGGGTCTTATCATGATCAGAATAATACAACTTCTGTATCTTTTTCCACAGATCAGTCCAAACAGCATTGCAGCGAGAGACGGGCGCATCCGAGAGGGGGACCGCATCTTACAGGTACCGCTGTTTCCACCATCACAGCAACATTAAACCTGCTGTTTGTGCTGTTCTCTACCACTGACTTCCACCAGGTCTTTTCATTGTGAACAGTGTGTGCCTGCTATAAGGGAGCAAATGCCCCCCTTGGCTCTTGTAGTTACATACTCAGCACCAGTGGCGTTACCTAACAGCTGTACTTCTCTGTGATACTGTGTTTAGCCCTGCAGCTCTGTCCCCAACCCCAGATACAGGGGAGCTATTAGTCTGTGGGGGTTTGATAGGGCGCCCCTTGTGCTTCGCTCAGAGAAAATCTTATTTTAATGCTAAACCTGCACTAATGGCTTTTCTTTGGCCACATGAGTGCAATAGAAAAGAAGAAAGCAAAACAACAACTTTTTATGACCTTTTAATGATGTTTAGGGGCTAGGAATTGCCTTCTTAGATACTGAGAACATGAGCAATGATTTTGTTATGCCTTTAGTCACCAAATTATTAATCCCACTAATTACACACTTTTGAATTGTTCTTGTACTCCCCCCAGTTCTCCCTCTCCAACACTTTAGATGTGGAACTAACAGTGATGGTAGTTGTTGTAATTTTCCTCTGGTTAATCCTATCTCATCCCATCTCATCAACTATGGCTTGTTGCCCTAGGATTATTACCCTTTAAGATGTATTCATTAGTGAGACAGACAAGATTAGTCCTGTTTAATCATTTGTATTTTCCTCTATGGTAATTATGGCAATAATGTATTTATTTATTACATTTAATTTGACTATGCTGATAAATGAGAGTAATAATTTGGAAATGGCTGGTTTTGAATTCCCACTAGTCTATTTGGAATGGACTCACATTTGTGTTTTAGCTCAGACAAGGCTCTTCCTGTCTTATTTCTCCATAATTACCACTTATTGGTAGGTTTCTTTATTTATGTCGTGTCTGAGCCATGGACCCTTTACGTTGTCCACTAAACTCCACCAAATTAATAGACTTATGGTAAATGAGTGTTTTTAAATGGTCGTGGCTAAGAGAGTCATTTCCCTCAATGACATATAGGGCTTTTCCATAACAAGCTGCACATAATGAGCTTTGCATTAATGAGTGCAACACTAATGAGATGCTCTCGAGACACCAGTGAAAGCAGTTAAACACAGAAACCAGGTTAATTTAACTTCCTCAATCCACACAAACACTTGGATAAGCCTAATGGCCCATATTTATCTGAGCTGTCCAACATTAGTGGCCAACACTAGGCTTCTTTCCAAGCTAGGTGAATAATGGCTCATTTCTCTTTCAGATGTTGGCAGACATACAGTTATTCAAGGTCAGATAAAATCATAAAAAGTGTACTTGTGTACCAGTACATGGTATGATTTTTGTTTTGTTTTTTACATTTTAGAGAAAAGCAATTCGTATTTTCTAAATGAGTATTTTTGACCATGGCGGTAACTCACAAGTGGCACAGGTTCAAACTGTAATAGAAGCAAACGGTTAAGGAACAGTTGGTTAGATTTAGATTTTCAATTTCACAAACATGACCTAACTGTGTCCCTAGATACAAGGTTAAAAATGATAATGCTTTTTCCTACTTACAAAAACATTGTACACTGTGGCCAAGTTGTTTATTTTACACTTGTGTTTTGATTCACCTGGGGCTCTCATTTGGTTTGCCAGTTTCAACGCTGAAATCCAGTTGGTTTAAAACTAAAATGCCTCTCTCTGATCTGAATGGTCACTACTGCACCCGCAGCAGATCATAAACCAGAGCTAGTGCAGCCTCTGCAGCTCAGGGAGTTAATCCTGGAGGTTCTCGACTCTCACATGAGACATGGCCTGTCCATACACTGAAAATGAGAAAAGCAAATTTCAGTATGAGTGACAGCATTAGCAATGTATTTAGCAGGGACATCTAATGTTGTGTATTTTCCTCCTAGGTCATTAAATGAATTTTCTTTTCTATAAATATAAAACTAATGGTTGAACTAGTGGAAGAAATCGCACGTACTTGCAGCATGCATTACTATAACAGAGTATGACTGATATATGGACCAGAGGTTGTGGTGGTGTTTTGCAGCTCCACCAGTTCTCCAGCGCTATTATCCACCAGTGACAGGGGCCATTAGTCTCCCCCACACAAAGATGGACGCCCCCTGTCAGTGGCCAGTTAATTGTACAGTTAGATGTATGTATGGTGCGAGATACAACAGCAGTGCCGGCCCACAGCCACTGTCCCATTCATAATCAAAGCTTTATATTAGAGAGTCTCTTTACTGTGAATCCCAGGACGGAGCAGAGAGGATTCTGTGCACGGGGCCTTTTATTGAGGTGGCTTGTTTTTCCTAAAGAAATTTGCATAAGGTTAACAGATAAAAGGGGCTCCTGTGTGAATATTCAGGCTATTGCTGTTAACACCAACGATGATGAATTCTGAAAATGTGTGTTCGCTTTAGACTAAAAAGCTGTGTTTTTGTTTCTAATCTTCAGATTAATGGGCAGGATGTCCAGGACAGAGAGGAGGCAATGGCGGCTCTCTCTAATGAAGAATGTAGGAGAATTGTGCTGCTAGTCGCCCGACCAGAGTTGCAGGTATGTATGTATGTAGGTATATATTCCTTTTAGATTTAATAACTTGTTTATTTACATCTAATTTACTATACATTATAACTGACATCCATTGCATTAAGCTGTTACTGTCTTGTAAACATGCTTGTTAAATAGTTAATGTACAAAAACACACACTCTGATGAAGCATTAGCCAAAGATTCATTATAAAGTTAAAATGAATTATTACATTGTCATTTAGAGCAGTCATTGTAGCAGTAAGTGGTCACCATCTCCACCTTTGCGATACCAGACCTGCTGAAAGCCACCATTGAGACCTCATCATGTTTTATTTTTATGTAGCACCACTGTAATTGACTTCCAACTCCAAGCCATAAAAGCTAATGGCATGCTAATGTTGAGTGCGTTCAGACTGAGGCCGGTGGCAAAGAGGCAGAGGAAGTCCTGTCGCAGTGCAGAGGAGCCTGGAGCAGAGTGCTCTGTACAAATGTGTGGAGTAATTAACTGTATCTCAAGATATGAAACCACTTTTGTCCCGAGTCAGCAGACACAGAGATGATAAATAGTGTGGGGGGCTTTAGGCCAAAGATGAACACAGTAGAGACTAGTACGCTCTTCAGTCCTACTCCAGACCAGGGCTTCATACATTTCACACAAATCCATTAAGTGTATGGTCTTCCTGTTGTAGCTGGAGGAGGCCTGGCTGGACGATGAACACAGCGAGTTCCTGGAGCAGCTGAAGATGGAGATGCTGGAGGAGCAGCGTAGAGAGGAGATGGAGATGGCTGCCTTAGAGGAGGAACAGGTGAAGAGCCTTTCTAGGCTATTGTTTACAAGAGAAAAATCTTTAGTTGAATAAATAATACAGAAGTTTCTCAAACAAACTCACTTAATATATAATGATAATACATATTTATTGTCATTACAATTCATAATTGTGTTTTGTTCTGAGGATTGGGCAAAAATCCATATAAATGGAAAATCAAAGAAAAAAAATGAGGAAACAGTCCCTCAAGAACATCACTGTGTGAATATATTATACATAGTGGTGTCTTTGTGCTGCTGTTTCTCCATCTGTAAATGTGTTTATGCTAAAGGTGTTTCCTGATCTCTGTTATACTTGTTTCAGAGAGCTGAAGATGAGCGGCCATCTTGCTCGTCCCTGTCTCACCACACAAACCATGTGCCGCACACGAGAGAGCGTCGGGGGAGTGCAGAGAATGTGCTAACTCAGATCCAGAGGCGTCTGTCCCAGTGTCTCCGGGACAGGGACACACACCGACCCCCCGGCTCCACGCGACTAGAGGACAGAGATGAGGACGAGGACGGAGATCGCTTCCAGCAGCTCCTGGAGCTCAAGTGTCAGATCCGGAACAGCGGCGAGTATGACCTGTTCTACAGCCGCCGCAGCACCATCGAGTGCAGTGTGGCTGAGCAGGGCAGTGTGCAGCACGAGCTGCGCATGCTCAATGAGGAACTGCGCAGTATCGAGATGGAGTGCCAGAACATCATGCAGGCTCATAAGCTCCGCAAAGGCCAGGAGTCACCCTCCAGCGGCCTGTCCAGCAAAAACCAAAGTCCAAAGCGAGGAAATCAAACCAGGAGCAAGCTGACGGACATAAACGAGCGGCTTGAGAAATCGGACAAGGACAGCTCCAGTGCCTACAACACAGCGGAAAGCTCCCGCAGCACACCTCTGCAGATGGAGCGATCTCCTGAACACTCTCTACAGAGAATCAGCCTGACCAACCAGAGAAACCTCTCCAGTGGGCTCGCCAGGAGCCAGGCCAGCCCGGTGCCCGCCCTCAGAGCCCCTGTCCTGGGGAAAGGCAGTAGTCCTGACCACAGTAACCCCTCTGAGTCTGACCACGCCCCTCAGCCTGAAGAGGACAAGCAAAGTTCAAAGGTCACAGCCTCTGTTTCTCAAATTCCTTATTTCTCTCCGTCCCACAGTTCCCAGCAGCGTCAGGCCACCATCCCGGCCCACGCGCGTCATTACCAGAGCTACATGCAGCTGATCCAGCAGCGCTCGGCTGTGGAGTATGCTCAGAGCCAGCTCAGCCTGCTCAGCCTATGTAAGGAGCCTCAGACACCTGAGCCCAAAATGGAGTGGAAGGTGAAGATCCGCAGTGACGGCACCCGTTACATCACCAAGAGACCAGTGAGGGACAAGATCCTGAGAGAGCGCGCCCTGAAGATCAAAGAGGAGCGCAGCGGAGGTATGACCACTGATGATGACGCCATGAGCGAGATGAAGATGGGTCGCTACTGGAGCAAAGAGGAGAGGAAACAGCACCTGGTCCGAGCCAAGGAGCAGAAGAAGAGGCGTGAGTTTATGCAGCGCAGTCGCCTGGAGAGTCTGAAGGAGAACCCTCAGAGCAGCAGTGAGGCCCGCAAAGAGGTCAGCATCATCGAGCTGAGCCAGAAGAAAATGATGAAGAAACGCAACAAGAAGATCTTGGACAACTGGATGACCATCCAGGAACTGATGACTCATGGCACCAAGGCACCAGAGGGCGCTAAAGTGAACAATGCCTTTCTCTCAGTGACTACTGTATAACTGTACTGTACAGGATACCCATGTGGTACGGAATTCTTGCCTCGTTCAATGTGGCTTTTTAGGAGGACAGAAATATTTTTCACTCTTTTTAACTGAAAAAGCATTTTATAAAGGATTTATCAGTGATCTAATAGTTTGTTTCTGAGGAGGTTTTTCATATCAATTCACAATCACAATTTTCTATAAAACAATACTGTTATTTTTCTTACTTGTGTATTTACATGTTTGAGTTAAATCATATTTGTTTTGTTTCATAGCTGCAGACACTTTTCTACATGGCCATCTGATGATCACTCTTGACCTTAATAACTGAAGATGTTAATGTTTCTGTTTGTTCAGCCTCAGGTCTTTTCACTTTGTCATCAGTTCTGTTTCACAGGCCTGTGGCCTCAATGCTGGAGAGTCATTTCTAATACAGTTCTAGTGTTGAATTATGCCAGAATATAATGAAATGTCAGTAGTGTATTTTGTAGAGTACACATTCTCTGAAAACCTTTGATTGTTGAATTTTTATGCTGCGATTTCTTAAACCAACAGTCCCTGGTCAATGGGAGATGGATACAGCAAAGAAAGTCAAATTAGTTAAGTAATTTTATTTATCTCAAAAAAGTAATGTCATCTTTTATTTTTATATTTTCTATGTAGATTTTCTACATAGTTTTACATTTGGACATTACACATCCAGTTCAGCCTTACTGATAAAGAGCGCAGTAGCAATCTCAGTGCTTTATCCACATACACATACCTTTGTATAATTCACCATAACATGTAGTACTACAGACAGTGTTGGCTGATACTGTACACTCATGCCTCTTGTGTTCAGTGAGCAGGACTCAGAACACAGATACTTTTATCACCAAACATTTAAATTGGGTTTTGGTTGGCATACATTGCATTCTGTTTTATGTAAAATGAATTTAAATCATGTAAATTTGGACATTTGAACCTAACCCTGTGTTAATTGAGTCAATGTGAAATTTCAAGTAATGTGTAGCAAGGTAAAATGTGTGACAATGGTGACCTTTGGCAAAATTGATAATAAATTATTGTTTTTTACTCAACTCTTCTGAAATGTTTCTAGTCTTTTGAGTGTTGATGTTAAACCACACAGTGTGCATCAGTGTAGTGGAGGGAGACAACATTACATGTCCATTGAACTCCACTGGCCTATCTTTGGAGTGGCTCACTGCTCTCAACTCCTGGGAATACGTTATTAACAGAAGGAGATTTCAATTAAAATGGCCTTCCACTTGGACGGCTTTGTGTTCATTAAAACATCCTCTGCTCTTCATCATTACTATGGGCCTGTCGTGTGCAGCAGGGCAGAGCTAGTGGGATACTGGGGCCTCTCACTGTTATCTTAAGTTGTCAATTTTACAGCTGGAATTGGAGTGTCACAGATAATGCTATAAGTTTATTTTCAATTTAACTTCAAACTTTTCCCCTAACACATTGTATTACCAGCAAGTATGTCCTTTTTTTCAATGTTATTTTATTTATTTATTTTCCATTTCTATTGTGGCAAAATCATTGTTTTGTACCTCCCAACTGCACCAATAACAGTTAACACACAGTTTATTGTACAGTACTATTATCTACTTTCTATATATACTGTCAGTGGATAAAAGTGGGTAATATTTACTCAGGGAGGCAAGTCTAGATTTCAAGATTTTATTGTCATTATTAGAAAAAAAAAAAAAAAAACATTTAGAGCATCAAACACTGCATAGTTTTGATGTAACGTGCAATACTAAAGGTGCAAACCCCCATAAATAAATATAAGTAACCCCAGTGTAAACATTAGCTCAATAAAGATCTAAATCTAAGGTCTAATTCCAAAACTGTAGCCAACAAACTATGCAAATATAATTCTACTGTAATACGAATGCCGATAAAACTCCATTTTAGGCACAGGCCATAATATCTAGTATTGTGCCTTCATTCAACTCCCAATGCACTCTGGGTATTGTCCTAGTGAAGAGGAACACTAAGTCACTTAAACAGTTTGCATTTGTCCAAAGTTATTCCTCACTTACCTGATGCATTCTGATCATCCTATTTACTCACCCCAATGAGTTCACAAGTAGTGTTTTGCCATGACCGTAAAGCTAACAACAACTAGCATGCTGATCACACACCTCATGATTCTCAGACAGTAAAACACTTAATAATTAGATGCAGACAGTACACAGCTGACTTTTGACTTCAAGAGCTGCTCATACAATATATTTGTACTGGAGCAAGAATTTTTTGCTGAATATATGGAAAAATCATGCTTAAGCCCTTTAATTGTGACTGTAATTTACACCTAATTGAAAATCTTCTGCTTGCTGTGAAATTCCACTCTGAAGGGCCAGCAGCAGAGACACAGTCCTAGCCTATATGCAGCTGTTTAAACACTAGTGAAAAGTTGTAGGAGCTGTGTCAATTGCCCCGATCCAGATGGTGTGCTCAGTATCTAATGAAGCTGATCCTCGGCCTCTGGAACAGTCAGTCAGGTGTAATTAAAGCCAGTCTAGTGACAGCCTTGGCATTTGTCAGGGCTCTGCAGCAGTTCAAACAGCCGCTTGGGCAGAAATGTCAAACAGATAGCAATGACTCCTCTCTCCACTCTAGTGCTCCACACATGCTAGAACTACTTACTACGTTGTTATGAAGGCTTGCTGATAACCTTTTGGATTCTCCTAAACAGAAAACTACAAATTCACTCTCATTATTCTCCCAGTCAGATCTATATTCACTGATGTACTGGTCCTCTTGACACAAAATAGGTTTTAGCAAAGAACAAACTGATAACAATGTCAGTTCTTCTCATTGTAGAAGATCTGACCTGTAACTTTGCCTAATCGTGTCACCTGCTTCTCTCCATAAAGAAATAGTTGGGAGGGAATTTGTGAATTATCATAAGGATTGTGCACTTCTGGAAAAGTTTTAGATTTTTGGCAGGGTGTTAGGTATGGGCCAAAGGTTTTTAAAAATCCATGGATACAAGTTGGGGTACATAAAATCCAAAATGGCCTCCGCCGAAAAGAGAAAAGGTTGTATCCCACCTTCCTTTTGTCTTAAATTGTTGTATAATGACACTTTTTCTACTTGACTTGACAAAAGAAATGTGTTTGTGAATAGTATCTTCCCATTTTGAGGACATTTTTAGGCCAAATTTATTGTCATGGTCACTTTTTGCTTGAAAAATGGTCTATTGCTGAAATGAAATAACATACTGTATAAAGATCATAAAATATATTCTATGTGCAACACCATAAAGTACAGCATTCCAGTCAAAGCAAATACATTTCTTTCAGAAAAGTTACATAGTCTACCTTTAAAAAGATATGGCATGTACTTTATTGCTGTGAGAAAAAAAGATTAAACAAAGGAATTCTTCAAATGCACTTCTTTTAATGGCCATTTTGCATTACATTGTACTCTATGTGGTTGCATATACAATCTTTATGTGGTTATGAGACCAGATTTTTTTGCTCATAAGACCCCAGAGGAGCAACCAGCTTTAATAAATGAACAGAATTGCTCGTCTATGGACATCTAGGATTACTGCTGCAAATGCAAAGCAATAATATTCACCAGCACAAGTGGAAGGAAGAGTGTAAACCAAAACATTACAGAGGTTGACAAGTTGTGAATTCAAAGGATTATCTGCAGCCAGTCTAATCCTCTGTTTCTGCCATATTTGCTTCATCAGGGCCCAAACATTTTCTAGATTGTTGTTTGTGTTTGATTACCAGAGGATTTTTCATCGAACCATTTGGAAATTTCTCTATTCTCTCCTTATTTATGCGTCATTGTTTTATTTCCCATGCACACAAGAGGTGGATAATGGGCCAATAGGAAAAACCCTGTGTGTGTGTGTGTGTGTTTAAAAGTTAATTATAGAGCTAATTATAATTCATTATTCATAAGGGCCTGAACCAAACTAGCGTACAGACTGCACTGGTTTCAAGCATGTGTAATTTGGCCTGCAATTAGCTTGAGTATATTGTTCCCAAAACATATTACAATACAATCAGCCCAACCCTGTAAAACTATGCAATCATGACTAGAGAGTACAATACCAAATATAACAGGAGGCAGAGGCATTGGGGTTGTAATCTGGACCATGACTTACTGAAAGGGCAGTAAAAATGTGAAAATCATAAAGTTTTACATATGTATGGCTTCCACTGTCTATAAAACCAAACAAAAGTCTTGTAAAGTTTTCCTTATTCATGAGCCTGAGTCAATGGTCATATCCAATAGAAATTACAGAGCATCTGTGACAGTTTACCCTAAAGGTGCCAAGGTGACTTTGACTGTTTTCAAACATGAAAAATATAACTACTTTATTTTAAACAGTTTGTGGGGGTCCAAGCTGTTCCTCACTTAACTTCAGCATTCCTGAGAGACCAGACCGCAGTTTTATCATGGTAATGCTAAGAACATGCACAAAGCACTTCACAATTAGCAGACAGTGCACAGTGGCCTCATTTCTATCTTAAGAGCTGCTAATTTAATGTCTGCATTTTAGAGTAAAACTAATTTTGTACAACCACACAGAAAAAAATCAGTACAGCCACTTTAAGTTGAAGTTTAAGTCCGTAAATACTGTAGTGTAGCTTGTTAATCTGCCTTTTTCTGCAATATAGCACATTTGAACAGTCTTTCACCAACAGAAGAATCTTGTATCATCCAGGTGGGTATACAAAATGTGTATTTGAACTACTACTACTACTTTGTCTTCCTGCAATTTTATGAGCAGTCCTGTCCTCACCGTGACTTAATTGGCTCCTGGAGTGCTGCTGTGTTTTTAATCAAATTGCCTCATGCTAAGTGTGAAGTGTGTTCATTCATCTTTGCAGTGCACTGACAGCAAAGAATCGGAGCAGCTGGAGTCTTCGCTAGCCCAGGTGCATTCTGGGTAGTCCGCACTTTGCTGTAATGAGAATATTACGAGGAGGCTTCACTGGTCAGCGATCAGTGTCTCGGGGCTCTGGGCAGGTTACACTAGAAACAGTATACATAATTTCTTTGCAATACCTATCTTTTGTTCAGATGTAGGTCTGTCACTGTAATTATCAACAAGAACACTTATTTATTATGGTTAAGGTTCACTTTTTTGTCCCCGTAGGAAAATTTGTGCCATGGATTCTTGGAGAGCAATATTAAAAATTAGTTATCATGACAGGCCATACTGTAAATTATAATCACAGCACACTACCTTTTGTAAGCACCTCAAGACTACATGACATTGTGTTGTAAGAAAGGAGAGGTAGACTTCGAGCTCTTTCTTGTGATTCTGAGGAGTGCAGCCAATGAATGCTAGCCAGGCTGGCGCCACCTAGTGCCTCCGCTCATTTTTATTTCACTCCAGCAGCTAGGTCAGGAATCGGAATACACTAGATGGTTTGCAAGAATCACGGAAATGTGAGTCTGGGCACCAG